CACACAAACAGATAAAAAACCACTCCTAAAACAAAACTCAACACTGAAAATGCTACATTTCACCAGGCAGACAGTTCAATTTTCCTTCTTTGTATGAGCCAAAATTTCCAGTAAGAGCTTCCCACCTGCTGCCCTTGCTTCTCACTCTTTCAGGAAGGCTGCGCATCCGGCTTCCATTCTTCCCACGACGCCGGAACTCCTTGTCCTCTAGGATGATACTGATCTATTCCAAATCATCTGTTCCCTCACTTCTTCACGCTGATCCCTCTCTTCCTTCTCCAGCGCTCTACAAGATTCTGCTCTTATCCACTCATATATTTCATTTATCATACATCTATTTCTAATTCTAGCTCCAACTATCTGAATTCTAGGTCTCCCATTTTCATCTTTCTCTGGAAATTCTCCTGAGATGATGATTACAACAACCAACGTTTAGTGAGTGCTCACTAGTGTGCTGGGCACCGTGCAAAGGCAGAGGTCCCAAGCTTTGTTGGTTCATGGTGCCTATGTGGGTTTTCAGGTGGTACTTGCTTTTTAGCACAGTAATCACTGAAAACCCAGCTTTGAAAAGATATGGCATTATGGAAAGGAATGTAACATGGTAAGAAATTGGAACTCTGAATTACTTTGCGCTAGTAGTTCATAAGGTACCTGACACATGTCAAGTACTTCTTTTTCCCTCAAAAATTATTCAAAATATACAGTGGTGGCCCTGTGAGTTTGCTGTGGCACACGAGAGCGCCTTGGCACACCAAGGCCGTAAACACTTTCACATGTTATTACCTCACTTAATCCTCAACAACCCTACTAAGCGGGTCTATTATCACCCTCACCTTATCATACGCGGAGAAGATAGGTAACTTGTCCGACATCACATAGCTTCTAAGCGGTAGAGCCAGGACTTGAACGCAAGTGGTCTGGCTCATCACCCCATACTTTAACCACCCGAACATGCTAAATCTCTGGATGCTGTATCTTAAAATCTAAACCTAATGTATCTTCTTTTCTCAAACCAGCCATTCCCATTGCTTCTCTGTTTTTATTATAGTCCTGATCATAGAAAGGACACACAGCGGCCATCAGCATTTCTGCCAGCTGGCTTGCCAGTCTGTCCACTGTTGGCTGAGGGAACACTATTCCTGAAGCATTCCTTTCTGTATCTAGATGGACTTTCAGATAGTTCCTTTTTATGCTGAAACGAAACCGAGGAAAGGATTTTTTTTAAAGCTCCATAGGAAAGGTTTTATGCATAGGTTAGGCTTAAAAAAAACAAGGCATGTTTCCCGTAAGTATCTGTTGGATAAATAAATTATTATCCTCAGTGTATGACTACTTCAGGTTTGGCCAGTCATAATCAAATACTGAATCTTAATAAGGTTTTAGCTATAAACTAAAATTCATTTTTCACTAGCAATTGTTAGACACATGGGGAATTATAAATCCCTACCCTTGAGGAGATCATAATTTTATTTTCTAAGGCACCCAGGTTCAAAACCTTAAGGGACATCTTTATACTCATTTATGTTTCTGGCTTCCCAGATCCAAGCCCAGTTGCCACATCTTGTCAGCTTTTCCTTCCAAGTCTCTCTTGCATCTGCCTATTCAACTTTATTTCTATCAGGCTTTTATAACTGACCCTGGACTATAATAACCTCCTGGGTGGTTTGTCACAAGTCTCTCGTCAGTCTAGTCTACCTGGTAGAGCTGTACTATTTTATACTTAAATTATCAGTTAGAGCTCAAAGCAAAAGTGAAGGAACAAAACAGTAGCAGACTCACAGACTCCAAGAAGGGACTAGCAGTTACCAAAGGTTGGGGAGGGTGGGTGGGGAGGGAAGGAGAAGGGGATTAAGGGGCATTATAATTAGCATTCACAATATCGGTAGGTCACGGAGAAGGCAGTGTAGCAGGTAGAAAACAAGTAATGTCTCCATAGCATCTTACTATGCTGATGAATAGTGACTGCAATGGGGGGGGGATTTGATAATATGGGTGAATGTTGAAACCACAATGCTGCTCATGTCAAACCTTCATAAGATTGTATATCAATGATACCTTAATTTAAAAAAATGATCAGTTATGGCTTATCTAAACCCTGCTCAGAACCTCAAAGTGCCCACTGCCAAATACCTACTTTGCCATTCAATATTTTTCAGTTTGCTCCCAACCTACCTTTTCAATGCTGTTTTCATCCATATACTCATTCACTTTACGTATACCACAAAATGCTTACCAAGGACATTGAGGAGTTGAAGGTAACAGTAAGGTGACTAACCCAGTCCCTAAGGAGCTAAAACATCCTCAAAGAGTTTGTAGCCTTTAATAGGGGAGACAGAATATGTGCAGATATAACTCTAATAAAAGGAAGAAAATAAGTGTAGTAACTTCCCATAGCAAGACATCACGGGAATTCAGAAATCAATTCTGATGGGAGGGTCAGGACGTCTTAGAAGAGGTGGCATTTGATTAGGTCCTGAAGGGAAGGCAGAGTTCAGTATTGAAGGGGAAGAAGGTCACTGCAAAAAATGAGCAAAGGAATGGAGGTAAGAAAGGAATGTTTGGTTTCTCCACAGTATATGTAAAGTGGACTCATAAGAAATAAAGCTCAAAAGGGAGATTGAGGGCTTAATTACAGTTATGAATGCTTGCTTGGCCAAGGGTGTAGACTCCAATATTTATTCATTCAACAAGTATTTATTGCCTATCTACAAAAGGCCAGACCACAGGTTAAGTACTAAGGAAGGCAGACATGATCCTGGTCCTCTAGGAGCTCACAGTCTAACTTAAAGGCAGTAAGGATCCACTGACAACAAAGAGGAGGACTGTCATCATCTAAGTGGTACCTAAGATCATGTGGCATCGATGTGTAAGATTAACTGCATGGAGAGAGAAACAGAAAGAAGGCCATCTACTACACTAAGTACAGAGAGGGATGAGGCCCAAGACAGGGGCAGTGGTGACGAGAACACAAAGGCGTGGAAGTTACTAAAGAGGAAGAGTATTAGGCTCAACAGCTGAGTGGGAACAGAAGGGGAGCAGAGAAGAGGGGAAAGGTAAAAGTGGACCGTAAGGCTGGAAGAAGCAGGCTATGGATGGCTCTGGGGGTGAAGGGGTATGATGAGCTGCCTGGGATGATGACAATGTCTGTATTTTGACAGAGGTTTGGTCACACAGGTGCGTGCATTTATCAACACTCATCAATGGAATACTGAACACTTCTTTACTTACCGTATGTAAATTTTACCTAAAAAAAACCCTGAAAACAAACATTGAGCTTAAGTTAATAATATTAAAGCTGAAGTGTTTAGGGGTGAAGTATGTGATATCTATAACATATTTCAAGACACAAAGAGGTAAGATGGATTGATGGACAGATGTATAATAGAGCAAAGAGCAAAACAGTAACTATAGCATCTCAGTAGGTTGCATATGGTGTTCATTGTACAATTCTTTCAATGCTTTTTGTTTAAAAAAGTTTATAATAAAGAGTTGAGGAAAATAATAAGCACACAGTTTGCGTGTGGGTTGCCTGGGAGGACATGGAGTAGAGAAGGAGATACAGGAGATGTCGCAGATTGGGGGTCTGGACGATGAGCTCCATTAGTGACACGTGGGTCTGAGGTGACCAAGGCATCCAGGTAGAAATATTTATCAGGCAGTTAGATACCCAGGACCAGAGTTCAGTTGGTTTGCTGCGTTACTTCCTGAACATCTCCCTGCCTCCGTGCATTCTCGGCCACTGAAATCCTGGGATGCTTTGAGCTTTCTCAGGCCACCCTGCTCCCTGACATCCAGCACTGTAAGATTATGGTTTTATGTGTCACCAGAATGGAAGTTCTTAGGATAAATGGAATCTTACGTACAGAATGTATACTATTTCATGAAGCAGTTTTCAAATAAACAAATGAGCAAAACCTGACCTAGTATCTAATCATTCATGTCTTCATGCTCACAGGGACTCTTGGCTCAGAAGGTACAGTTTTGCTTTTGTTTCTAAGATATACACACATTCTTAAAAAGCAGTCTGCAGTGGGGAGAATAACTTGCATCTCTGATTTAGACAGAAATGAAACTGCCATTCCCAAATTCTTAATATATTTTTCTCTTTCTTAGTAGCTTTTTGTTCAGATTTTATCTGACATTTAATTTTGAGCACTATAAACAAAGGAAGAAAATGGTTGTCTGTGGATGGCAAATTACGACTTTTTTTTTCTACTGTTCTGAATTTCTAAATTTCAACAATATATTACTTTGATAACACCGGGAAGGTATTTTTTATAGCAAACCTTTCATGACACTGTCATCAGCTCCTAAAGTACAACGGCTAGAAAATCTCTCAAGTTGTGAGAAAGAAATCAAAACAAGGTGGCTGATTTCTCACTGCTATTTCCTCAGGCAACAGTGAGCTCCCTAAGGTCAGGAACTACACCCTGCTCATCTTTGCCCCTCTTTACACCTGTTGTAGCCTTGGGCCTGGCAAACAGTAAGGAAGCACCCAAAAGGTGAAAAGAACATGTATTTGACAAGAATACCAGAAAGTAGCCAACACCAGTTAGTGGCAAGCTATTAGCTTATTCCATTAACTTGGTCATTATTTCCCTAATTCTGAAAGTCTAATTTTCAAAATGAACTCGTAGAATACCTTTCCATCTCTCTCAGCTGCCCCAAGCAGGCAGTGGTGGTGAGTGGAGGAAACTGGGTTTGGCTCCTTCTACGGATTCCAAGTACCAGTCAGAATAAGCCACGGGATTCCTAACCTATGTCCAGCGCAATGGAAGAACAACTCTATTAAGAAAATGCACGAATCATTAAGATTGCTCCTCTTTTGTACCAGACAGACTCAGCCACTGATAAAATTTTGTACTTTTTGTCATTGCAACAGGTTTACCTTGTTACACTCCCAAGTGGCTGACCTCAGAAGCTTATTCCAAGTCCGCTTACTACTATCAAGGAAAACCCTGTTTCACCTCACCCCCACCATGCTTTAAAAGATGCTTTACCTTTTCTCCTCTCTCTCTCTCTTTGTCCTTCTCCTCTTTTTTCTTTTTCTTCTCACTATGCCCATCTGTGTGGAGGCCAGGAAGTGGTGGGAGGGGGGCTGCCGCTCCAGCGTAGGGGAGGCTGGGAGGGGGGCCAGGGGGCACTGTGACCTCTCCCACTGCTGCAGCAGGAAGTCCCGAACTTCTCTTGGACTTGGAGTGTCTCTTCTCTTTGTGCTTCTCCTTGTCCTTCTTTTTTTTGCTCTTCTTTGATTTCTTTTTCTTCTTGATTTCTCGGTAAGAATCATCTATCACTAGCTCCCCAGCCTCTAGCTCCCCACCAGAGGACGAGTCTGATTCTACTAGAATAGGTTCAAGCCCTGAAAGGTCAAGGTTAGCACTGTGGGATTCTGGGAATTGGGAGGCATCAGACCCACAGCCTTCAGGGCCAGGAGATGAGTGTGGGTCTGAGGATGACTTATGCTTCTTCCGGGCTGTTTTCAGAAAGCTCTGTAACTCGTGTCCTAGGAGTAAAGCACCTTGCTCATCCCGAGCCGATTTCTTAGAGGATTTTTTCACAGTCGCTTGTTGAGAGGGGTACTGCAAAGACTCCTCATCAACTGAGCTGCTTCCCTTCTCCTTTGGTGAGAGGATAAGTTTCATCTTTAAACCATCAGGCTCACGAAGGGTCAGCGTCTCTGTGTTCACATAGAGCGGTTTCATTTTTTTTGATTTGTGAGAACCATCCTCCAGGGATAGTTCCCCACTACTGCCACTTACTTTCTTCCTGTGGTGTTCCTTTTTACTCTCTGAATGACTTGAGGAACTAGAGGACTTCTCCCCTGTCTTTTTGGAGGGCTTGGAGCCTGTTGCCAGTGGGGAAGTGATAGCTTTCAACAGGTCCATTGCTGTATCGGCAGACTGTGGGCTGGACTTTTTCTTTTTCTTCTGTGACGATTCCAAAGATGAAATATCTAGAAATAATCAAGAGCAGTAATGTCCACATGATAAAACAACTTACACACGTTTCCTCTCTCACCAGAAACATCCAACTAACACGAGGAAGAGGCTAACAGGAATGATTTCAGGGAGGCCCTTCAACTGATTGCTAACACTCAGAGATGATACCCATGTGCTTCTTGGCTTGGTAGGGTCTGCCTCTGACCCTGGAGCCAGTTCTTGTCACTAGAGTTGTTTCTCTTTACTGAGTCTTCACAGGCAGCCAAAGAGTGCACATTCAGAGGACTGAGCTATAGCTGCGGGATTACAGTAGTTATGATCTGGATCACACTGAAGACCGAGTATCATTTGTTTTTGTGTTCAGGACAAATCCACTGCAGTAAAGGGTTAGTCTCATCAGCTATGTGCACAATGTAACTAAGAAGAAGTGGTCTTGTGAGTAGAAATGCGTTGGACTGAGAAGTAACCCACAGGTGCAGGCCAGAGGGCCCAGGACTACACATGGCAGAAGGGAGGCTAGGTAAAAATGGGCACAAGAGAAGTGGATGATTGGGGGGAGAAGGAACCTGGTACCTGGTGTATCACAAATGAAGACTGTTCTTCTATGCTGAATCCTCCAAAATACCAGCCCTCCACCTCTCTCCTCCTTCACTCTGGTTTATCGGCACTCAGAACAAGAACCACTCTCCTGTTAAATAGGCCACTGAGTCAGCAACATCTGGATCCCTTTCCCCTACCCCGACTCCAAGAACCAGCGATGTGTTTATCCCACCTGCTGCCCTTGCCAGCCTCACCTCCATAGTGGCGATCATCAGAGGGGTGCTTCCTCTTCTTCTTGTGTGTGTCCGTCCCCAAGAAGTGCAGTTCACTATCCTGGAATCAGAGGAAGAATTGACCGATGAACAAGATGTGAGGCAAAAGCAATTTGGAACCAATCTTGTTCTCTGATGACTTCTGACTTTGGAAAACAAAGTAAGATATAAGAAATATTAAAAATAGATGTGAACGATGTTTATTTCTGTTTAAAGTTTTAAAGAAACTTTTCTTCAAATACTAGGATATATGATATGGAACAGTTTACAACTACCCTAACTCAAATGTTTAGAATTTACCTTTAACTTCTTCTTGGAAGAATTCCTGACCTGAGCAGCGATTTCTTCCTCTTCTCTTAAAAAGTCTTTGTAAGAACGTTTCTTCTCCCGTTGGCTTCGGCCAGCTGCTAGTCCTATGTCCTCAAAGCTGTGATCACCATCAAAGCAATCTGAGAAGCACGGGTTCATTTGGGAAAGGAAATGAGAAGGCAAGTGAGGAACAACCAAAATCACCACATACATAATACAAAAATCCCTCCATTTCCAAATTAAAATGTTTCAGTAAATCCTCTGGAATACAGGCTAGATCCAAGGGGACAAGAATATTTCTTGATGGCTTGGCTGCAAATACAAGAATCAAACCTGAAGAAGCAACGTTTCCATGCTATGCAAAGGCCCAGTGTGCATCCTCAGATATGGTCTCTTAGTTTGATTTGGCAGGTGGACAGACTTGCAGAGGTAAGGTTGAAAAGAACGATTCACGTGCTGTGCTGCTCTGTGGGAGTCCAGTATGTGATTCCATCCCCAGACTCCTGCACACTGGAGCTGGCAAGGACCATGAGTGCTGCAGGGGATCGCCCCGATAGACTACAGAGACTTATATTTCAGATTCTTGTGTTGGTACCCTGTCCTGATTTTCACTTCCATGGGCCCAGTCTGGGGGTGACGTGGAGGCTGAGTGTCATCATAGTGCTCTGGACCATCACTTGGGAGTCCAGGCTATGATGGCCAGTCCTGGTCTCTATGTCCACAGGCTGCAAGGATTGAAGAGGACACCCCCTTTGGAATGCTTCTCAGATTAAGGGGTCATACCTTCTTTCTTCACGTTGTCATCATAAGCCATGGCGGTCCTTTGAGAATGAGTCACTGTGTCCAGGCTCCTTCCCGTCTACAGGACCAGGTCTGAGAAACAAAGAAGGAAAACCCTCCTGTAATGCAAAATCACTGTGGAGAAGCAACCTTCCAGATGGAACTGCGCAGCGATCCAAGGGCAGACTGGAAGGGCAGGAAGAAATAAAGGAGTGTCTTGTCACCTCCTCATTCTCTTTGTAAAAATACTGGGGTTGAAACTGCAGGGAGTGTACTAGGTTTAAACTGATTATTCAGTTAAAGTTGTGGTTTGGGGAAGTATATAGAATACCTCCCATAAAAAAAATACTTCCAAAATTAAAGGGAATTTCTGGAATGCCAAGAGGACTGACAACACGGAGACAGGGTAAAAACCGACATTAAGTCAGAGGGTTAGGTTCAATCACGGTTACAAAGTGCACAGATAAAGCAGGACGCAGAGCAAGACAGGTTAGAGCAAACATTCAAGACCACAAAATCCTACCATTTGGATTGGTGACAGGCTGAAGTCTACTGTATTGCAATTTAAATAGGAATGCTGACAGTATTATGGGGGTATTGAAGATCTTTGGAATATAATTTCTTAAAGTGCCTTTTGTTGGACTATATGAATTTGCTCAAAATTATAGAAGTGTAAAAGTACACTTCTTATATTAGTTGGCTATGACAGCTTTCAATGCTATTAAGTCTTAGGTGAAAATAAGGAAGAATTATCATTTGTCCACTGGTGATGAAATTTTTAGGAGTAAGATTTTCACGAATTTAAATAATTTTTGTACTTTGAATATTCTAAATGCTATTTTGAATTTGTTAAGAGTATTTTTTGGCATTCAAATTTGTATGTCAATTTTACTTTGGAAATGACAAGCCATAAGCTGCACTTAAGGGAAAGTTCTCCAAATACTTTAAGGAAAGGCAATGTCACAAGTCCTGCAGGAAATTTCAGATTTATATACCAAGTATATAGAAAATGTTCTTGTCCAGTTAGTGAAATGCTTGAGTTGATCTGATTGGTCATTTATTACATTTTATTTTACCTGCAGTACTATAATGGCATTTAGAAATGCTGAAGGACACTCCCGTGAGACACTGCCAATCCCTTCAGGTAAGTATGGAAAACACTGAAGTATGTAACTTTAATGAAAGAAAAGATGAATTTGATCAAAAAGAGAAACTTTCATAAGAATTACATTTAAAATAAGAGGAAAAAAAACTTAATTGCACAAAGCAGATAAAATACAATGCAGATATGCCTGAATTGAAAATAGAAAAGTATTACCAAGAATGATTTGTAAGATTAAGAAACATAACAAGGCATTTCTCCACTTCCCTAAGAAGTGGAATGAAGAATGGACTTGATCACAGTAACAGAAGCTAGAGTGAAGTAAAGAAACGAAATGAACTGTATTAAAGATAAACTGGAGAACTGCTTGCTTAAAGGGCTTTTCATAGGAAATGAAGGGATAGGTGGTCAGGTCTAATGTAGAAATAGGAGGCAAGATACATAATGTAGCCAGTTTTTCATGTTTCAATGTAGCATTAAGCATTAACATTTCTCAAATACCAATTACTGTCCTCCCCTTTTGACCCACTGGTGCTGACTCCAAAAGGGTTGAGGGGAGGAGGAAGTTGTAGGGAATTATATCCATTCACTGGAACAGTACCTCCTCTCATTGGCATTATGTTGAGTCTATTAGAAAAATATATAAAGATCCCATTAGTTTTCATTAGGCTGATAAGGCCCAGAAATACCATAACTCAAGATCTCAAGTTAAATGTTTTTCATGCCAAATGAATTCTGGTAAAGAATGTTAGAAAAATAACATTAAAAATCTTAAATATTTAACATGAGAAATACAGCTACCTATCTGTTGTCAACAATACCAAATATACTTGTAAATGAAACAAGGGCAAGTCCTGAGATTTAAAGCAGGCCTTCTCTTTAGTAACATCAAAACTAATGGAAAACAGAGTTGACCAGTCTAAGCACCTCTGAACACAGTATGAGAAAGAAAATAATGAGGTGACTTCCTGAACTGTACGAAAGTGCTCATGGTCTCACAACTGACTGCTCTGAAAGCCAGTGGATTTAAGATGCTGTGAAAGGGAACCGAAAATCCGGAGCTGATCCTCAGAGCCACAGCCAATACAGAGAGTATGTGCTGGTGTTAGCATCATGTATTAGAATTAGGCCTGCTACTTAAATTTTCATTAAAAACACTGAAGAGCTTTTTACAAATGACAGAATTAAATAACCTGTAGAAAAAAAAATGAATGGGGCCTGGAGGCAAGTCCAATTCACTAAAGAATTGGGACAGCCAAGAGCTTAAAAAACTAAAATTAAACACAGTGGACTATGTCACTCACAACTTGGGTAGACTGAAGGACTGAATTTCTAGGTTCTTTACAATCAGGATATTTTTGGAGCTCGGTTAGTTTTGGTTGCTGACTCATAGAAGAAAGATAAAACCAGATAAAGAAATCTCAAGCAACAGTGTGAAAGAAAGGCAGTTAGGGCAACATTTATATAGGCTCAGATGATCCGCATAATATTCCTTCCAGATCTTGAATATTATCCCTGATAAATTCAGAGTCGAATGAGGCAGCACACTGGGACTAATGAAAGTGAAAAATACTAGGTTTGATCTTCACATTAGAAAACAGAGGCCATGATTACACTGAATGTTGGCAAACGTGAAACAGGTTTAAAGCCCATTTTCCTGGATTCCGCAATTTTGGAACTGATAGAATTCAATGTTGTCAACTTCAAGAGGCGGGCATAATTTTACAGTTAGGTTCCTCTCAGTGTGTTAAGAAATGACAACATACATGAAAGTTCATTAATATTTATGGAAGAAAAAAATGTGTACTTATGAAATACGCAAACTGTTGAATGGCTCCTTCGGGACTTTCTTCGGAATATGAAAAAGGAGAGGCAGAGCTTTTCTTCACTTGCAGATAGGTAGGTATATGCACTATGTTCTGGCACAGTTTTCTGGATTACCAAAGTAATTAGGCAAAACCCCAAATCAGATACAGTACTTCGCTATTTTTAAAGTCCAAATTATAAATCCTGAAATAAAACTTTCAGAAGGTAATTTTTTGAGGTAATCTGAGTTCCAGCAATCACTACCAAGCTTCTTCACCCCAGAATGTAAATGAGTATTGAAAAAGAGGGAACAAAGTCAGCTCCCTCAGTGGCGTGGTAAGCAGAATCCTGAGCTCCAGGCTTCGTCCAAGAGGAGAACCTTCTTCAAGACTCTTGTGTTCTCTTCTTCCAGCATTCCTTTCGGGAATTCAAATTGTCAGTGCAGGAAAAGGAAGATGCACATCCAGTGGCGGCCAGTTTCTGAATCGTTTACTTCTTTGAAGATGAGCAGGTGATGTCTTCCGGTTTCTGAAAGGGCTTCCAATCTCACCACACCGCGACTCCGAGTTCTGGACACTCCCTCCCCCAAGAACCTAAGGATGCAGCACTCACAGCCCCTGCCAGCTCTGGGAACTGCGGAGATCCCGACAGCTTGGGATGGGGATTGAATTCTCTCATTGCACTGCAATTAGGCGGAACCACGACCACCGCACAGATAGGCTGACAACACACATTTCCAAAAAAACGAGCAATACGAATTTTGACAAGCCTTGTCCAATCAACAGGCTTTACTTGGGATGCAGTTATTTATTTATTTATTTCTGCTGTTGGGGGAACAGAATCAGCCACCAGTTTAACCATCAGAAAGGGGGGAGATGATGTTTCTCCTCCTCTGTGTGATATAAACTAAAGTGAATCTACAGGTAATAGCTGTGGGGGTTAAACGGGCCTGTATGGAGAAGATTCCACTACAAAGGTACGCGCACATTGGGTCGCCCGCCAAGAGTGCACACAACACCGGGTTATTTATACAAAGAGCCCCCAGGACCACCCTTTCTGCGGCCCGCACGGCAAGGCAACGGGATTCTCTCGGCAGTTTTGCAGCAACAGCTAGTTCAACAAAGCTCTGTGAAGAGGAAAAGAAGAAAGCTCCTCGCATCCTCTCCTGCCAGCCGAGGACCCAGCCCTCCCGTCGCCCCGGCTGCGGGGCCCTTTCGCCATGACAGCCCAGAGACCCCGCAGCCCGCGCCCCGAACCGCCGCGGCCCCGACCCGAGTCCCCGCATCCCCGGCGGCCTCCCGGCGCCCCCGAGGGCGGAGACGGCCGCGGCAGGGGGAGGGGCGGCCCCAGCCCGCAGGCCCCCGGGGCGGCTGCACGCCCCCTCCCGGCCCCGCAGCTTTCCCGCCTTCCCCA